TTGGGGCGTTGGATGCCGGCATGTGAGGTGAGCCCTTCGGAAAACAGTCTCAAGGGGGTGCAAGAGCCTTTCATCTTGGAAAGAACTTTGAAGTTCCTGGCTTGTTTCCCAAGGGTTATAGTAATTATATGTAATGTACCCCCAACCTCCATTCTAAGGCACCCTTTCTTCCATTCCTCGTAGACTCGCTCGAGTTTCTTCAGGTTTGGGGTTGAAGGTGTATGCTCTTTGGATTCATGGCTTAGCGGCTGGGGTCATAGTTGAGCATGGCTGCTGCCGGGTCAGCGGTCACGGATCCAACTAGACAGATCTACCCATTCATGATCATTAATGTCTACAGACACGAAATGGAGCGGGCAGCACTAACGTGAGTACGGCTGATACTTGTACAAACGATGATGCATCGGTTTCTGCAGGGTGTCAGACAGTGTTCTTCCCCTGCAGCCCTCGGCTTATGATAGTGAGGCCAGAATGATGCAAAAAGGGCAAGCGCGAATGATATACAGGACAATTCATGACATGATGGCTTTCACTGCGTTGCATTGGGGCGTGTGGAAGCACAGAACAGGTTCTTCGGACAAATGTGCTCAGTTAGGATCTGCAGGATTTCACCATCCACCATACAATCCTTGTTTTGCTCCAACCGCGCACCCTGTCCAGGACACTACGCACAGGCACGAAGATGTCGTACATCGTTATGCTATGTAGTAGGCCCCGAAAGTTCCTGCAGGACTGCAGGGAGGGTTACAGCGGATTACATGTTGAATCATGTTATTATGCCTTTCTACCTGAGCTCGGCTCTGAGTCCTGAAGAATGGCGATTGCAGGCAACTTTGCTCCACAGGGGCCCGGGCATTTTAACGAGACCCAGGTCAGGAGAGTAAAAACACACCCCGCAAAATAAGCTGTGAAGCATGTAAGACAGAGCCGAATCATACGCGCGCAAACGAGGCACTTTGCTTCGGGCGACTCCCCAAAACAGGCCCCGGAAGCAGACCCCCGAGCTTCAAATACTCAGTGCAAAATCCGATGCCTGGGACCGGGACTGCTGACACGTCACATCTCAGAACATGCTGCTTGCATTGGCAGGTTGAAGTGCGCCGCCGCGGAAAGTATGAGCAGTTCGGATCAGGACTGGGGACGGGCAGAATGTTGCCAGGGTCCGCTCATGTCCGACCAGGGCATCCCATGCTAGATCTGCATCTGGAGCGTGCTGTTCGCGCATGTCGGGAGTTGTAGGTGATTGAAATCACAAGCCGTGCCGAGCACTCAGCTCGACTAGGGCTACTGTAGCAACCTAGCAACTGCGCACGGTCACTGACAACGTGGGGCCATCCCATGTGCCGTGCCACAAGCGTTTTGTCACAGCTGCATTCAGGCATGAGGGGATACCGCTCCTGCTTGCCTGTTGGCTCCAGCTCGTAGCCGCTAGCAGGAACCTACGTTCCGACCGTAAGCAATCTATATTGGAATCCATATCATGCCGGAGGAGGGCGTGAAAGCTCTCCCTATACGCTGCTGCTGGTGATGTTCGTGGGCTCTTGGGTCGCCTCATGGGTGAGCCTAATTTTCAATTCGTGCCAGATGTTCTTTGCCCATGGCAACCTGAAGCTGGACGTGTTGTATGTGGCCCCGGTCATGGTCCTCCTGCTGGGTCTCTTCATGACGAATCTCCAGGGGTATTTGGAGGAGCGCGAAGCAGACCCGGTCTTGGCAAAAGCTGCGGCCTGGGACATGGACATGGCCCTCCTCCTCCAGCGCCACTGGCGAGAAGTCTGCGCTGCCAAGCCGCCTGCTGCCTGGAACCGACTGAAAACCCGCCAGGCCCTGGGACGGGGAATTCCACTGTCCATGGTCTCCTTTTACCTGGCCAGCCGTGACCTAGTAGAAGCACCGGTGTGTCAGTTCGCAGGTGCTGGCTTAGGCCGAGTTTTGATCAAGGCCCGAGGGCGAGGGTCCCAAGTACCCAGCCTGCTGTTGCCAGTACTGGCAGAGCACAGGCAGATTTGCAGTTTCGAGCTTCCGTTTGGAAAAGGACTGGGATTGAACTGTGCAGCCAGTGAGGAGCTAAACCAGACCCTTCTCCTCTCCCAGCTGCAGCAGTCGGAAATCGACGGTACGAGTCCGAACATGATCGCCATTGCCAGGGACCTTGAAGAGGCATTTTGGGATGCAGCGCACTGTGAAAAGTCGGTTTGGATGCTCCAACCATCGCATGGGGCAAACAGATGCGGTCAGGAATTTAGTCACTACTGTCTTGACCCGAAAGTGGCCCCCAGCCCTGGCCCGTTGAAGGAGTTCAACTTTTTTATGAGATCGCAGGTGGTGCCGATTCTTACTGCAAACAGAGATGCGGAGAAAGCTGTTCGAGAGCTTGCAAAAAGCTCCTCGCGCTTGGCTATAAGTGTTGGCACACGCTTCATCTCGTGGTCCCACATGGTTGATCTGATTGTACAGTATCTGCATTCGGACCGGATTGCACTTGGCGCCGAAACCTCTTTCCGGCGTTCTGGCGTTTTGATCACATCTTGGAGGCAATGGCACCTCCAGTTCGGAATCGGCCTCGTGTCCTTGTTGATGTCGATCCAGCCTCTCACCACCATGGTAAGTACAAGCCGGAAGCTGAAGCCTTTTCAGAAACGGCACCTGTCGATCCACATGACTTTCGACATACTCATCGTTGAGTGCACAGCAATCGCGATCCTCAACGCACAGGTCATTGTCCACTTCGGTCAGGCATGGTGGAACGGAGTACAAGCTGTGCTGACTACCATCAGCCTGGCTTATGTACGGGGCGACGCTATCGATATGGATCATGCCCGCATATGGGAGAATGCTGCAGCCCAAGCGCCAGTCCTGACCAAGCGGCCCGTGGACGGTTTAAAAGTCGGTCCCGGCGTTTGTGCTTCACTGCTGACTTCCGTGTTGGTCATCTTCATCTCTTCGACGTGCCTCCTCGGGACTAGCTCAGTGACAAAGCGTTTCCCACTGATGTCACGCTGGAACGCAGCCGTTGGAGGGCCTTTCCAGGTCCTTGGGGCCGTGTCGGAGAACGAGGTCCACGAGCTTTGCGGCCGTGTTCGCTGGCAGATCCTTCTCAGAGCGTCGCTTCTGAGTCTGCTGTCGGCTGTGTTTCTGCTGCGAGCCACATCGTTCGGCGTGGGTATGATTACTTCGCTGGTGCTTCAAGTCACGCTGTTCCGGGCCCCCTTCGTCATCGGATGGCTAGTCCTAGCGGCATCTCACATCGGCACCGGGATGTTGGTTGTGCAGGACATCGCAGACAATCAAGATGCAAGGAGGTTGAGGCAAAGACTGAGAGACATGGAAGCTGCTGAAGCTTCTGCAAGGTCGCATCCTCCGTACGGCACCTTCGCGCCGCAAGCCGGGTTTTCGACTCAGAGCCCGCAGGCTCCGTCTCCATCTTTGCCACCAGGCATTCGTTTCGGCCCAGAGCCACAAGCCGGGTGGCAAGGAGCATCTGCGGAGGCCCCATATTTTGAGACGCAGAGCCCAGGCACAGAGCCACCAGCCGGGTGGTCAGGAGCATCTGCGGAGGCCCCAAATTTTGGGATGATCCAGAGCCCGCAAGCTCCGTCTCCATTTCTGCCACCAGGCAAACCTTTGGGGCCAGGTGCCGTCTAGCACCAAGCTGCATAACGTGGCACTTTGAAAAGCAGGGCTCTTTCTGCTGCGCCTTGGGAAGCCTTTCAGGCGCTAGCTCTGCTGCGGGGATTGTGTTTCGTGCCAGGAGCTAGCAGGCTGCCCGGTGCGTCCAACGTGTGCAGCCCAGCCTTGCGAGGGCTTTGCGGATCTTTGCATAAAAGGATGGTTAAGCGGTCAAGCGCCATTTTGAGTTTTCAAGGGGGCCATTGGATCTTGTAGGGTGACAAGGGATTCAAGGTTTCACGAGTTCGACATCGTTTTATATGGACGTTATACGGCTTGCGAGGCTTGAAATCTCGTGAAGGCGTAGCCCGCTGGACTTATGTCGTGCTTGGGTTGCTCTATGAATTCTAAAATCTTTTCTTTAATCCCTAAAATTCTGGTCTTTTGGATTAATATTATTATAGTTTTGAATTTATGAAAATTCAAATTTTTGGACTTCTCTCAAATATTTTGAATCGTTTATAATTATAAGTCCGAAGTCGCGAACTCTTAGAGCCGGTAATTTTAATATTAGCCCAGATTCAGAGATTTAATTCTCTATTTAATTCTGTCTTGCCCTATCTTATCCAGGGTCAGGGAGACCAAGCCCTAGGCCCATACCCAGATCCAAGGCCCAGGCCCAGGGACTAATACCAAGCTCTTTTCAGGGATTTAGGTCTAAAATCCAGGGCCCAAGGCCCAGACCAGGCCTTGTCTAGGAGACGCTGTCCTAAGCCTAAGCCCGACCAATCTAGGCCTCCCCAGCCCAAGTCCATGCGCCAAACCCTAGGCCCAGGCCCTCCCCCGAATTCTAAATATAGATTTTTCCCGTCTTCCTTTCCTCAGCCCCAAGCCGAGGCCCAGGCTCCAGGCCATAATTCTAGGGCCAAAGGCCATATCTTCATATTGTCTTCTATCTCCTACCTACTTCCTCCCACTACTTCTTACCGACTTCCGAGAACGACCTCCTGCCTACCTCGTCCTCCACCCATCTCCTACCTATCCTCCTTCATCCTACCTACCTCCTACCTCCTCTTATTTCCGACCCCCACTCCCCCTTTTGCCTCTACTCTCTGACCTATATCCTACCCCTACCGACTACCCTACCTACTCCTACCTACCTCCTGCCTACCTCGCAACCACCTCATACCTACCTACGACCTACCTCCTACCTCCTACCACCTACCACCTACCTTTTATCGACCTCCTACCCTCCCCTACCTGCCTCCCCCTACCTCCTACCAACCCACCCGCTCCACCGACCTCCCTTCCTACTCCTGCCTGCCTCCTACCTACCTCCTATTCCAGCTACAACGTCGACCTCCCACCTCTCGTTCCTACCTCCGACCCGCCTCCTTCCTCCCTCCGACCTATCCCACCCTACCTACCTCCTACCTCCTCCTACCGTCCCAAACCTCTTTTTCCGACCTGCTACTTACCTTTTTGGGTCAGTGCAACCGCTTCGGGCTTGCCAGAGCGTTCGCAAATCAACTCGCGGGGTTGTTCAATGCGGCCATGCACGGGGGCCAGCACGTGGATGCATGCAGGATTTTGCGGACTCTGAGCGCCGATTACTTGGAAGGCTCCGGGCAGGTCGTGATGTCATGGCCTCCCGATGTGCAGTCCGAGAGCGTGGAAGGCTCCGGACAGGTCGTGATGTCATGGCCTCCCGAGGATGTGCAGTCCGAGAGCGAGGAGTCTGAGGTCTAGATGCGGCGGCTTTTTAGTTCAAAGACAGACACCGTAATGCCTTCGCAGTATGTCCGGGGGAAGGCGGCAGCAAATCTGCGCAGTACAGAGAGGCAGCGGTAGAGAAGTGGTGGCTTTTGCTAGCTATCATGAAATCCGTAGCACTTGCACCGTCTTACAAAAGCCAGCACAGTGGGGACCGAGCGACCTGCAATCCTGTGGCGTTCAGCAGGTGCTGCGGTAACAGACCGGGCGTGAGGATTTCCGCCAACAAAAGAAGCCTCACTACTTCTCTTGCCTGCAGCGCAGTGCTTCGTAGGGATTTGTATGGGCCTCCCCTTTGGACACACTGCTCACAGAGCCTTAGTGCCTAGAACCTGGCAGGCGTACACGCATCATTGTCGAGAAGGCACACAGACGCTCGCACTGCAGGCAGTTTTTCGGTCAGGGCTGACGGACGTTCCGTGTGGCGCAGGTGCTACCTGAGGTGCGGATCCGTGTGGAACGCACCAAATGAAAACATCAGACGTCCGTTTCAGCGACGCTTGCAAGTGCAGCCGTGGCCGTCTCTGGGAGTGTTTGTTTAACGTGCTTAAGGTCGGCTTTGATTTTTAGAGTGTATAGACCTGCATCCAGATGCTCGTTGATGCTCGTTTTTGATGCTCGTGGTGCTCGTGTAAAGGGGGGAGGGGAGGCATGGGTTACACGTCACATGTACATGGGAGAACCCCACGACGGTAACGCCCGCCCGTGTCGCTCGAAGCTCGAGCCCGCAAACTCCGACCCTGCCAGGCCGCATTATGGCCCAGAAGATTTTGCATGGACTTTGCGCGCACTTTCGGGCGTTCTAAAAGCCAGCCCTGGGCCTCCTAGGCCACGTTTCGGAGCGAGTTCCGGCCGGAGCCGGGAAGAAGGACTTACCCTATGAA